AGTCTTTTTTTTTCGGGTATTACAATCTCCCTAACTTATAAAACGTTTCATCATTGAAACTTGATTTACCTTTATTTTCGAATAACTGAGGATGTCGTTTCTTCATATCATCTTCCATTTCCCAAGTTGCTTCTCTTGGTGTATGATTGCTCCATTGGACTTTTATAAAGGGAATAGTTCTATGCCTTAAGACTTGCTCTTTTCAATCAATTATTCGGATAGGATATTCCAAGTATGTTAAATCTTCTTGAACTTCTAAAGGTTCATACTCTATCACGTGGCTTGGGTTAGAGACATACTTTCTCAACATGGACACATGAAAAACATTGTGCACACCAGATAGTTGAGGTGGCAAGGCTATCCTATATGCAACTTCTTCCACCTTATCAAGAATTTCAAACGGACCTATATAACGTGGGCTTAGCTGTCCTCGCTTCCCAAATCGTATAACACCTTTTGTGGGTGACACCTTTAAAAAAATAAAATCCCCTTGTTGAAATTTTAACTCCCTTCTCTTTTTATTTGCCCAACTCTTCTGATGATCTTGTGCTGCTTTAAGTCTCTCTTTAATCACCTTGATCTTTTTTACAGTTAGTTACACCATTTCTGGCCCTCGGAGTTTTCTTTCCCCAACATCATCGGGGATATACACTTTCTACCATACAAGGCCTCAAAAAGAGCCATCCCAATACTAGATTGGTAACTGTTATTATAAGCGAACTCCGTTAAAGGTAAGTAATCATCCCAACTATCTTTTAGATCAATCACACATGCTCGAAGCATATCTTTTAAAATCTGATTTGTTCTCTCTGTTTGCCCATCTGTCTGAGGGTAAAAGGCTGTACACAATTTCAAATTTATCCCCATAGCTCGCTGTAAACTTACCCAAAACTTAAAAATAAATCTAGAATCTCTATCTGACACAATACTCACTGGAACTCCATGTAATCGGATAATTTCACCATACTTGGCTTCAACCCATGCTCGAATCGTATTGCCTTATTCTTATCTGAGTCAATGATACGAGTACAAAAACATCCCAGCTCATTAAACTTGTTGGCATACTCCAGCACAAACATATCATGCTTTTGCTATAATTGTAGAAACTCATTCTTCTTCTCTCTTTCACTGATTCTGGAAAATATTGATAAAAAAAAATCTCTTTAAACTTTTTTCAAGTTAGAGGCTCACCTGAATCTTCAAATGTGGGATTTATGGTATCCCACCAGTACTCAGCATTTTCTCTTAGTTGAATGACAGCCAAGCTCAATTTCAAATCTTCAGAGATACGCATTGCCTTAAAGAGTTTTTCTAACTCTTTAACCCAAGCTTCTGCAACCAAAGGATCAAGGCTGCCTTCAAACTGAGGTGGGTTGACCTTTCGAAATCGTTCATAAGTTGTCTCGCGTTGTTGCAGATTCTCTTGTGTTTACTGCTGTTGTTGTATCAAATTTAACACCACCTGACACACTCCAACTAAATCATCTCGCGTCACCGGAGCATTAAGAGCATTTTCAATATCAATTTGCTCATCTCGAAAATTAGTGGTTTCAGATTCATCCCTTCTCCTCTTAGTTCTTTTTCTTCGACCCACAAGGTCTGCTAATGTCTCATTTCTACCACTCATTCTTACCTAATTTAATACCAATAAAAAAAATCGTAAGCGATCAAAATAAAATAATTGAATCTTATCAGTGTAAATGCTAAGAATACTTAAACTCTACACTAACTATAACTCAATTCTTTCCTTTCCTGGATCTTAAACCTTTGCTCTGATACCTTTTCATAAAAATTACGTATTTATTCATAGGTAACTCCAAATTCAATTCCGCTTATTTCATTGGAAAGTAGACTCAATAAGCTTTCCAAACATATATGGCTTAATTTGCAAATCCTTGTATAAAAATTAAGGGAAATTTCGTAATTCCCCCTTATTGCTGCTACTAGGCAGCCTGCACCTCCTTAGGTAAAAATTAGATAACTCTTCATAGAGAACTCGAATTCGACTCCCGTTTATTTCATTAGAAAGTAGATTCAACATGCTTTCCAACCATATATAGTAATCATAGTAGTATTTAACCCTTTAATACAGAATATAACCTTAATTCATCACTACAAACACATGATTCATATCAGGATTTATACGAAACAAAGATTTTCCTTTCTATTCCCATCAAATTTCTGTTTCAGCAATAAATTCATATTACCAACTTTCTCAACACTTAACTTGACTCTAATTAAAGTCTAAATCATCTGCCCAAAGAGGGGTAATGGAAACCCTAAAATTTTAGGATTTCTCGATTATAAATTACGCCTTAAGACTTAACCATCAATACTCCAAAATTGAAAGAGATTATATACTCACCTCTAATAGACAATTTCTCCTTGTAGATTTGTTCTTCCCTTCATTTGGAATCCTTCAAATGATCTTTTCTGTATAAGAAACATATGAGAAATAAGTTTCTATTTTTCTTTCGATTAATCGTCGACTGAAAACTGAAAAGTTAACTCTATTAATAAAAAAAATTGAGTTATTTATCAATAAATCCTCTGCATTTCTCATTCTTTATTAAAGAGTCCCCTATTTATAAAAATACTTAAAATAGTCTTTTTTTTTTTCGGGTATTACATAAGATGGCAGAACATGTTGCAAAAGTTGTAGTAGAGATGCCATACCTAGTTGCTTCAACCACTAACAGTGGCCATGGCCTCCTCTAACCTAACCACCATCCACCCTAATTGGCAGCAGGCAGGCAGGCTGGGTTGTGAACAAATAAATTTGAGAAACATATTGCAGTTAGACTTTTGACGTTTGAGTTTAAAACTGAACAGGAAATTATGTAGAAAAAAGGCATAAGAAAGGAGCCAGCCTGCAGCTGCATAGAAGTTAGAAGCCGCGTTCATACCTTCATATCAGGAGATAAATCAAATCCTCTTTATGATAGAATAAATAAGGCATTGAAAGATCTTCTGGAGCAGATTGAACAAGAAGGGTATATTCCTGACACAAGTGAGGTTTTGTCATGATGTTGAGGAGGAGCAGAAGAAATACTAGATATTTAGCCATGGTGAGAGATTAGCTTTAGCTTTTGGCATCATTGGTACCCCTGCTGGGACAACAATTCGAATAACCAAGAACATTCGTGTTTGTGTTGATTGCTACACAGCTATAAAGTTCATACCAAAGATTGTTCAAAGAGAAAATTCTGAGAAAATAATAGCAGATTTAACCATTTTCAAAGATGGAAAGTGTTCATTCAGAGATTATTTGTAACAGGCTGAAAATTAAATGGCATTAAGATCTATTGATCCTTTACAGGTTGAGGGATCAATCTTACATGCTGTTTTTCACTCTCGTGAGCCTGAGAGAACATTGCAATGAGAATCTGTGGTAAGAATTCATAAGCTTTCACCCAGAAATCTTCATGATAGCTGAATTCCTTTAAAGTGCATATCAAATCAGCTGCAAAAAATGTACTCAACTCTTACCTCAGTGTAGAAACACAAGTGGAACATGAAAAGCAGAATTTGAAACAAATATCAACGGTTTAAGCCAGTGTCTCCCAGTTTCAAAGGCTTTTATTGATATCAACACAGGCATAATACAGATGTCAGTACAATCATAATTTTAAGCAATCTTTTGCTGCAGTTTAATCATTCATCACCATGGACAGCATCCCTTGAATCACCATTCAACTTTACGGCCTTGGATAATACATGTATGCATTCGTTGGTTCATTTTTATGCTTAAAGCAATTGATTTTTTTTTTTGTTCAGCTAACATCTAACCCTGAAAAGAAGTTGAAGCTTCATCTTAGAGGCAACTAACATTGCCATAAAATACTAACAAGAAGTTTTTGACTTGTCGAGAAAAATGTTTCTCTTTGTAGAGCTTCAAAATAAGAGCAAGGATTAAAAAGGTACTTAACTGTACTGCAAACAAATAGAGGAATCCAAGTTTTCTTCTTTGGCAAATCTGGGGCTGAAGATAACTTGGTGGAATCAATTTCCTGGTCTGTAACATGCACGATCTTTGGCCATTCTGATAGCTCCTGCATCATCCTTTTGGCATTGTTTGTTATCAGCAGGGGACATTCATGAATCTGCAAATGTTGGAAAGAGATAAGTAATCTATCCTCGGGAAAGGACTGAATCAAGGGAAAATTCTCCAAACATAAGGTCTCTTTTGTACTAAAGACTTTGGAATATTGGGGCACGAGGAGATGTTGGTTTCTTGTGAGTCTTTACACGTACTCTTTTAATTTTCTTACATTTGGATTTTTGCATCTTTGGAGAATTAGTTTTGGCAAGAGATGATGTTAGCAAGATTATCAGCTATCCTTTTGTCTATGTATAGTTTTAAACGTGAATAGCTTGATACCGATTTCTGAGCAATTGTTGTTTAGTTGGATTTTTTAATCTTTTGTTATATCCTAATTTGGTTTGTCATTTAAAAAACCATAAAAAAAAAAGTGAAAAACAGTCTAAAAGGTATAGTATATAATTGATGTGAGAATAAGCCACATTTGAAGACCACAGAAACATACCGAAAGAGTCTATACATACATGATAGATATCAAATGAGGCCAAAAGCTGAAGTCCTTGGGTTGTGGATCTTTTATGTATACATGCCACCTTTCCATCCCATTCTTTATTGATATAAGATTCGTTTACTCACAAGAGCATCACCTCAATAATAATTTTAACACATACGATTAACCCAAAATAACTGGTTTTGGAGTTAATGACGTGTCTTGTCTCTTAAAAAAAAAAAGAATGCTTTTAACTATGGAAAAGAAAATTTGTTTTGAAGCTTATTGAATAAACAACTATCATTTTTTTCCATAGATCAGGCTCTCTGCATTTTGTTGGTGCAGTAGATGGTATTGGATTGCTCGGTCCCATGCAACGAACAAAATCAAAAGAACTTGATTAAGAAAACCTGGAAAGGGTCAGATAAATTATAACTAGGAAAGACAGAAAGAATAGGCTCCAGGGCATTGCAGAAAACCAACATCCAATTATCAATTTATCATTTATTACATCTGAATAAGAAAACGAGGAATAAAGTGATCACTCTCACTTCAATCCATGTAGAAAAAAAGCTATGGAACATGAACAACAGGATTTGAAACAAATATGTAATGGTTTAAGCCATTGTCTCCTACTGACAATGGCCTTTTTTATTGATACAAATACAATACAAACACACACATATCAGTAGCAGTCATGGTTTTAAGTTATCAAGCTAATCTTCTCATCCCTTGCTGCAGCTTAATCATTCACCACAATGGACAGTGTTCCTTGAATCAACCATTCATCTTTTCAGGCCCTGACAAACACATATAAGCAACTGTGGAATAAACTGCTTTTCTCATTCTAGAGGTTTTGTTGTTTAAGCATTTATGAAGGAGTAATATTCTTAAGCTAATAAAGAAAATGAACTTTTATATTCACAAATTCTTAGCTTCTTTTCTGTTAAGATAACTTCCATTTATAGCAATGAACAAGAATAATTTCCAGCTAGAATAAGTTTTGGAAATGGTGTTAATCATTTGTTTACCTCAAAAAATAGGACATGAGCAAGGGAAAAGTAACTCACCTTTACTCCTGCCAATTAAAGGAGGCCATTTTTTCTTCTTTGGCAAATCTGGGGTTGAAGGTAGCTTGATGGAATCAATTTCCCGGTCTGTAACATGCATGATCTTCGGCCATTCTGCACCGTCTGCAGCCTCCTTTTGGCATTGTTCAATCAGCAGTTGACATCCATGAATCTCCAAATGTGGGAGAGAGGAAGGTAGTCCATCCTCGGGAAAGGACTGTATCAAGGGACAATCTTCCAAATATAAGTCCTTGAGTGAGAGAAGGCTTTTTAAGGTCTGTTTGGAACCTAGAGATTTTAAAATGGGGCAAGAGCCAATCACTAGGCACTCAAGTTCTGTTGGTAACCCTTCATCAGGAAATGATTCAAGCTTTGGACACCCTCGAATGGAGAGCAGTTTGAGAGAGGACAAACTTTTCAATGACCCTTCTTCTTCAGACAAAGAAGTGAGGCCTTCGCAATCACTGATATACAAATTCTTAAGCCCTGGAAGATGGGGCAATTTTGGGAAAGAAGCAAGGTTTGAGATATTTGAAATAACCAGGGAGTAGAGAGAGTTGGTACTTGGTATTGCCCTTAATAGTGTTCCATTAGAACATGTTCCCAGAGCTAAATGCTGAAGACGTCCAGCGAACATCCGGACAGGAAAGGCAGTTATGAGTCCACACCCACTTATTTCCAGTTTCTGAGGAGCAAAATTTTGAGGAAGTGCTTGTATATTGGGGCAATTTACCATTTTCAATTCCAAAAGACCAATCAAAGTAGGCCTGGGTTGGCCTATTTGGTTGCCTTGATCATCTAGGGCAACCCACATTCCTTCTTGCCAATCCTCCAGAACAAGATTGTCAGTGAGTATTAAAAACATCAGGGAAGGAACTATTGGAAGAGCCTTCAGTGAATCACACTTCTTTATCTTCAGGACACTTAAATTTGGCATGCAGTTTGGTACCTTCCTCAGCTTGGGGCAGTTACTGATATGTAGTCTAACCAATGAAGGACACTGAACATCGGACCATTCTTCCAGTTCCAGCATCCCTTTGAAGTAGAGCTGTCTAAGCCAAGGTAAACGACCAACAGAGAGTGTCGTGCATTTAGTGCAATGACTTAAAGTAAGTGTTACCAAATTTTGAAGCAGACCATTTGTCATCCAGGTAGGAAAATTAGAGCCCTTAAAGTGATCAACTGCCAGCCCTTTGAGATTTGAATGAGGCTGGAGGTCTTCAAGGTCCCTCTGTGCTCTGACTTCATCTTCTTGGTTCAAGTCTCCGTCACTCCACTCTAACATCAGCTTCTGAAGGCGCTCCTTCTCGTTCAGCTTTGCGTCAGCTGCATTCTCCGCATTTTCCAGGTTCAAAATATGCAGTGTACCTGTAAGATTTGCCATGTTCTTCAGTTCTCCAATGCCATGTCCACTTGTGCCACTGACTGGAAACGCATGCAAATTTTGTAGACTGGTTAAGTTTCCCATTCTTGGTGGCAGCGTCCTACACTTGAACCAAAACATCTCATCTAGCTCAAGATAATGCAGGTTAACCATGTTTCCAAGGTCCTTGGGCAATTCGAAAAGCCAAAGGCACCCTAGAAGCTTAAGTGTCTGTAGATTGCAAAGTTCACATATTGAGCTGGGAAGCATTTTGATCTCGGTTCTAGAGAGGTCCAGGTATCGTAATAGCTTCAACTCTTTAATAGAGCTTGGCAGTTCCGAGAGCAAGCTTGAACTTAGATCCAGAACACGAATGTATTTTAGAGAATGAAAAATTTTGTTCAGAGCCTGGCCAAAGCTTTTCAAGTACTCAGTAGGCAGTAGGAGCGTGCGCAGCTTATTACATTTTTCAATAATCTGCAAGGTAGGGTTCTCTAAATCTTGACAAAGCAACGAGACATGACGAGATTTTTCAGAGATAACACATGAATTGTTATCCTTGACAAAGCAGCACCGGGGAGTTGAAACTGATACGGCCAAGTCATGGATAAGGTCATGCATTACATATCTCACCTTGCCATCGATGCTAAAAATTTGGAAGAAAGACCTCATTAACAACTCATCAAAATATCCAATTCCAGTCTCCTCTACACTATTTTGCCCACTGGGTTGAACAAATGCTTCAGCCATCCAAAGCTTGACCAACTCCTTCCTATCGAAAACATAGGCCTTTGGAAACACAGAGCAGTATGCATAACATTGCTTTAAATAAGAAGGTAGGTGGTAATAACTCAATTTCAAAGCAGGCAGAATTTCAGGCCTATTGGGGTTCTGCTCCTCCTCTAGCTCCCATATGCTATGTCTTGAGATTTGTTTCCATTTGTTCACATTAACATCACCACGCAGGAGACCTCCCATTGCCTTCACTGCCAAAGGCAAGCCCCTACACTTCCCTACAATTTCCCTACCAATGTCTTCCAGTTCTTTCTGTAAACCACCTAGTAAATTACAGTCTTTGAAAACAATTTTTTTAAACAATGACCAACATTCCTCTTCGGGCAAATATTCCAATCTATAGGGTGGTTGTGTTCCCATAATGTCCGACACCCTGGTGGTTCGACTAGTGACCAAAACTCTACTGCCCTTACCTCCTTGTTTCAAGAGGTTTTCAAGTCGCTCCCACTCTTGGTAATTGTTACTCCAAACATCATCTAAAACAAGCAGAAAGTTTTTCCCAGACAAGAATTCTAGAAAGCGTGACTCTAGGATGCTGGTGGGTAAGTTGTTAGAATACTCCATTTTTGTGTGAAATTCAATCATTTCCTTGAGTATCCTTCTGAAATTGAATTCTACTGTGACACAGACCCACATCCTAAACTCAAAATGATTCTTTACTCTTTCATCATTGAAGATGAGTTGAGCAAGAGTTGTTTTGCCCAAGCCTCCCATCCCAATTATAGGAATGACAGAAACATTTGATTCAGAATCAAATTCATTTGATAGCATCTGATCTACTAATCTTTCTTTATCAGAATCCCTACCAAAGACATATTTTGTGTCTACAAAGAAAGTGGTTTCTGGAAGGTTTTGAACACTTCCACCATCAATACTTACGTTGAGATGGAAATTGCTTTTCTCTTTAGCAATCACATCAAATTTTGCTGAAATTTCTTTGATCTTATGAGCAACACTGGCTTTATAAATAAGCTTGCTTACACTGATTGGAGTTTGGATTTTGCGTACCTGCTGCTTTCTCTTCCAGAGGAAAGTTTCTGTTGCAAAAGTGTCCAATATGTCCTCTGCATCACAAGCAGCATCTTCGAGCTTCGCTAGCCAAACTCTCAAAGATGTATCACAATCAGCATCCAGTTGCCTCTGCTCTGCATCTTTAAGCACAGCTCCAATGGTGATTAGATTGCTTGACAGCTTTTCGACCTCCTTCTTAACACCCACAATTGCAAGAAATTCTTCTTGGATCAAGGATCCAACGGTGCTAATGATTTTGTTCACAATAGGAGACACAAAAGTAGTAACTGGATCTCGCATAACTCGACACCTAATTGATAGTAAGTCCTACAAGAAAGAAAAAGCATCAATAAGTATGGTTTTTTTTTTTATTCGATTTATTCTTCTAGATGGAAGAATTACACAACAACTCACCAGCAAGAAAATATGTCAAAGAATGTGAAAGAACTTAGTTGGAACTGGATGACTTGTGTTGTTTCATTTGGTTCCTACTTCTTTATCATCATTTGTTCGTCTTTGACAGGTTACTCAAGAAGAAAATTTGTCGAAAACCCCAAAAGAAATCAATCGGAACAGGATGAATTGCTTTGGTTTCATTTGGTTTCTGGTTCTGTCTATATATAGAAAAGTTCAGACAGACTTCGAAGTCTGCCTGCAGATTCCTATGAAACTTCTTTCTTCTTGCTAACATAAAATACCTCACACGGTGCTGACGAGAAACTTCTTTCTTCTTGCTAACATAAAGTACCTCACACGGTGCTGACGACAAAGGGTGCAAGTAGATTGATCTGTTTTATACATGCTGCATTTCATTTAATGCCACCAGAGTTGTCTTATTCTTATATCCTTTATGACTAGTGGGAAATTTATCTGTAGAAAACTCATTGTTTTCAAAGTTTAGGCGTGTGAGTATGGTGGGGTAAAGGGACTGGCCTTGCTAAATGTAAATTAAAGCAACTACGGCTTTGTAAAATGTAAGACATTGCATAATTCTACAAGCGTTGAATGCATCAGATAATTCCAGGAAAATATCTAAAGAGACATGCTGGGAAACCAAAGATAATTTCAAAGTCTTGCAATGCAGAGCAAAATTAACACGAAGCGCGTTCGCTGACCTTGGTGTAGTTGATCAGTTGAGTAAAGGGACTAGCCTTGTTAAATGTAAACTAAAAAATGAAATTGCATAATTCTATAAGAGTTTAATGCTTCAGATAATTCAAGGAAAATATCTGAAGAGATGTGGTGGGAAACCAAAGATAATTTCAAAGTCTTGCATTGCAATCTATAGAAAAATGAATTTGATAATAATTGCTGGCTTCCTGAACTTTTCCAACCAATGGTCCTCTATGCACATCATTTCAATTTTTGCAGAGAACTGTCCTTTCCTTTTCTCTTTCTATAATTTAATGCATCGTTCTGTCTTTAGTTGGATTTTTCCCTCTATTTTCCTTGACTTCATCGACTTTTGAACAGTGCATGGAAAATGATTGACAACCAAGTATATAATTCATTTTATGGCACCTACTTGTCACGCTCAACTCCCCAAGATTTAAGAAGTAACAATATCGTACACTCATAAGATAAATTTTCTAAGCATCCAAGATAATAAAATATTAAATTAGATTAAAATATCTAATAATCTCTAAAATAATATTTTAAAAAAATTTTAAGTCTATAAAATTATATCATTTACAAGTTAGTCAAATAAATTAAAATTCTTACTAATAAATCTTGTAAATTTAATAATAAAATACTCACTCGAAAGTTATACCAAATTACAAATAAATGTTAATCTTGTTAATTCAAATAGTTGTCAAGATTAAACCTTCTAAAATATCAATATCGAATTTGAAAAAGTAAAAAAAATTAAAAGAATGAGTATAATGACTCAACAAGTAATCGACATCCCTTCAGTTGAATTAAGCATGTCACAAAATATTTAAGCCAAAACATTAACTACATGATTCAAAAATATTTTGGGTAATATTGCATTCACAAACATATTCTCAAAACTAGATTCTCAAATCACAAAACAGAATCAAATATTATAAAATTACAAATTTATTTAGTTTCTCGTAATATATTATGATCACACTTAACCCTTGTGGCATAAGTCAAAATCAAAATTACCCCTCTAGTGCAATGGGAAGAAATATATCATAAGCAATTAAATCGTTGCACTGACAATCGTAATTAACTCGTTAGTGCAATGGGACAGAATAAAAATCACACTAACCTTTTTAGTGCAATGGGATAAAAGCATATCACCGATGGCAAGGTGAACAAAAATCATTATTCTCAACCGGTAACACAGTTTGAAACTGGAATTCCTATTGGTAGGGTCAGAACATAATCATACTAGGAGACAAAAATCACAATATATTTTCAAATTACCCAACATATACAAATTTAGTATTTATAAATTTTCTCAAAACATAATCCACACAAAGTAAATTCCACAATCATTCCAAAGTGAAATTTCATATTCCGACAAATGATGGATATATAAATATATTATTATGAAATCATATTCGAAAATCAAAATAAAATCAAAATAATATCAAACCATATTTCAAACTCATAATAAAGAAATTATATATACATTTTTCATGCTCAACCCGATTTACAAAACAAATAGATTAAACAATATATATTATATATTCAACTTTAGATATATTGAGATTGACGTTTAGGGACATAAAAATCAAAGGGATATCAAGTTACTTACCTAATGCGCTAAACCAAAACTTAAACAGCAAATCACTTAATTCTTTTAGTATCCTATAATTTAATAAATATTCAAAAATCAGAATTTATCCCAAAAACATAAATTTAATAAGACAAACCTTCCGCAGGTCATTCTAAGTAAAATGGGTTGTGTGGCAACCTTTTTGATAATTCGAAACTAATTGAAAGTATTTTTTTAAGCATATAAAACAAATTTTCTTTTAATATAGCAAAATGCAAAAAATTAAGTATAAATATGAAATTAAGAATTAAAACATAAAAATTAGTAGCAATATAGCTTTTTACAAAATTTTAATTTTTAATACTTAATAGTAATCATTATTTTTTTGTAAATCTGAATATAACTTAATAACCATTTAATATTATTAATAATATGAAATTAACACAATACAAATATATTAAAATAAGTAAAAACTTTTTAAAAATAATATAACTAAAACTCATGTAATTTATAACTAAGTAAATCAAATAGTGGCTGAAAACAATTTTTAAAATAATTAAAAATAAGAATTTCTAAATTCTAAAATTTTCACATTATGTGATCATTTGGTTTACTTTGAGTTACAAAATCTCGAACATCATATAGTTATTAGTGACAAAAGAAAGCATGAATTTAAACTAAGAATGTAATACTACAACATAAAATTTTGTTTCGACAAAAATGATTTCCAGAAACTTAAGTTTTAAATATCAAAACTTGACAAATTATTACAAACAGCTTAAATTTTTTTGGTTTTTAATTCAAAAAGCCTACTTTGGGGCTTTAACTCTTTTAGCTTATAAATCATTTGAACAAACCAATTGTACCACTAGAAAGTTCACATTTCGAACTATCAAAAAAACTTAAAGTTTGACCAAATCGGTTACTGGAGTAGAAAGTTCTTGTGGCTCAAAATTAGGCATTTGTAATTGTCAGACACCTAAAAATCAAAAACTTGAAATATTAAATTCTCCTAAATGAAGTACCACACATACCATTAGAAATGTCTCTTTCTTTCTATTGGTACTCAAAATTTTGCCAAAAAGTTATTGGAATGTTGCCTAAAGTTTAAAATATTAAAAATTTTAATCTAATATTTGGGTTTTTCTCATAAAGACGAAAATTAAACAGTTTAAAAAGTAAGTTTTACCTCCAAATCTTCAAATGCATAATTAAATCCTTAATTTCAACCATTCTCTTTTTTTTTAGCGCTATGTTTGGATAGATATTAATATTTGAGTTTTTCTTATAAAGACGAAAATTAAACAGTTTAAAAAATAAGTTTTACCTCCAAATCTTCAAATGCATAATTAAATTCTTAATTTCAGCCATTCTTTTCTTTTTTTAGCGCTATGTTTGGATAGATATTAATAAAGGAAAAAAATGAAAGGCAAAAAAAAGGAAAAAAAAATTTTAAAAGAAAAGAAAATGTACATATGTCATGAGTCGAAACTCAAGTTTTAGGCTCACGTGGCTCTAAAACATGGGGATTCATGGCTCCTTCTTAGGATCATGACATCCTCTCTCACTCTAACAAAAGTCCATCGTCCTTGGTGGCACATCGTTAGTATCTCAGAGTTAGCTCTGATACCACTTATCATTGGTCAAAAGTCAAGCTTTAAGCTTACACATTTTCAGAACACAGGGATGGCCTCTTTTATGTCTCAGATTAGCCTAAATGTCACAATTCATACTAACTTATGAGGTATTATCCGCTTTAACCTATTGGATCTCACGATTTTGTTTCTCAAAAGACGCCTCACAAGTTGAAAATGATGCGAACATTTATATCCCATGACTAACTATAGTTGTGATACCCCATCCCAAATAATAATTGGGCTAGACTAATACCAAAGCCTATCAATTTATTAAGAGATTAATTAGTAAAAGAAAAATGGTTGAGTTATTAAATGAAGGAAAACCCGACTATCGAAAACCAAAAAAGAAATGAGAGTTCTTCTTTCTCATCTTCTTTCAGGTTAGAGAATATGAAAAATCAAGTTGACGATTCAAAATCAGAGGTTACAATCAAGTTAATCCCTTAAAGGTAAGTAAATGTCCTTTTTTTATTTAAAAAAAATATCAAGTTGATTGCTATTATTTGGAGTTGAAGTTTTGAAAGCAAAACAAAAAAAAATTATGAAATCTTTCTTTAATCTTCGTGATCTATTTGGATAAATTATTGAGATTTGTTTATTTTATATTCTTAAGATTTATTGATGATTATTGAATGGAGTTTAAAAGCTGAAAATGAGTGTTTAATTTTTTTAAAGATTGAAGAAAAAATTTTATTTTTTGGATAAAATGCTATGATTTGTAATAATGAATTAAAATAGAATTTTGTATTTGGATATATAAAGATGTATCATCAGGTAGATTAAAGATATGAATTTTACTTGGTAGATTATTTTATTGAAGAATTTTAAAATGGTTAAGAAATAAGACTTTGTATTACTTTGGGGTTTACTTCAAGGTAATATGGTTGTGTTGCGTCTTGATCTCGAGACGTGACAAAAAATGATATCAAAGCTTAAGTTACGATCTTGAGAGAATTTTAAAAGTTAGATTATGATGTGATTTTCTTTAAAAGCCTTAGTTATGTTTCTTGGAGATTTTCTAAGAATTCAAGTCATGATCTTTAAACTTTGTGAGATATTAAAAAGCTTATATTATGATTTTGAAGATTTTTTAAGAAGTATAATTATGATATTTAGAGATTCCTAAGAAGTTAAACTATGATAATTAGATTAACGTGAGTTTCAAAGAATGTAGCTTATGATCTTTTGATTGAAAGAGATATTCTATGAGTATGGTTATAATCTATATATTATGTGGAGATTTTTAAGAATTTAGATGATGACCTCTGGATAACGTGATAATTTTTCAAGGAAATAACTTTGATCCATATACTATAGTAGTGAGTATAAGAAAATGATTCGATGAATTTTTGGAGTAGTTAAAGTTTCAATGAATATTGAGGAATCAATGGTTCAATGAATTCATGGAGTAATTATTTTAGTTGATATTTACATGTTGCTTTTGGATCTTGCAGTTAAGAAAAAGTATAATTACTTTGATATAGTGCAATTTTATGAGTTGAAGAGATTTTCGATGCGACTTATAATGAGATATATTTTATGACTTAAAAGATTATTTAGGATAACGATTTAATCATTGGAGATCCTATGGGTTTGAGAAAAGACTTTCGACTTAATGAGGTTTCGAAATTATTTGATAAGTGTTAAGTGAATCCTTGATGATGAATTAAAATTGGAACAAGAGTGTTCATTGTTGAAATTAAAAGTATAGAATATTGGAGTTGGAATGAAATGATATGTTGAAATTTTGAAGTAATTATTTATGGATTATAATGTTTGAGAATTTGTTTTGATGGATTTAGTCCGAAATGTTATAATTGTGATAAATAGTTTAATATTCATAAAGGAGGATATTCACTTGATTTGGTTTTACATTTTTTTTATTGAGAAAGTATTTAAGATTTGATCATGCAAGTTGGACATTTGTATAGTTAATTTGAAGTTTGATTATTAAATTCCTATTTATGGTGTACTAATTTTTTTTCAATAGCTAAAGTGATTAATTTGTGGTTATAGTTTCTAATTGAAGTATACTATTGGATTCCTTCAAATTTTAG